CGGGGCCTCTCAGTTGCTTGAATGACCCCTATAAAAATGCTTGCCCTGTTTTTTTCACGTGAAAGTCATTTTGACATCTGACAAGAATAAAGACTGACTGTAGTTGAAAAATAACGTCTATACCCATCTCCCCCACAACCCCATCTGCATCAAGACCCTAAAACAAGGGCTCTGGGCCCTTCTCCCCACTCCTCTATCATAGACAATTTTCTTTTCCTCATTCATGTTTCCAAAACAGTTTATCTTTTTATCTCCTTGGAAGAAAAGTACTCGGCAAATCAAAGGTATCATTAGTATTGTTATTATTTCCCTATTGAAATCTCTTGAATTCACTCTGGATTATTCATGTGCTTTTTTTGGGTCTGCAATATAATACTGCCTAAGTCACCCCCACTGGGTTGAACAAAAAAGAAAAATTGCATCTTCAGGCCTAATCCCCTGCTCCACCCGTCTCCTGCTGGCCCTGGCTTGTACCAACACAAGCACACACCAGCGGGGCTGATCCTTGGTACCATGCCTAGCTCACTGCTGCCATGTTCCAAGCCAGATCCTCCTTCGTACACCCAAGGGGGGCCATGGTATCCACGCTGAGCAATAGGAAGGCGTTGACCACGCCCACACCCTCTGATCCCCCTGGGGAGTTTCTTTTCCATCCTCAATAGGTCTGGTGACAACAGAGTGCTCCCTGTTGGACAGCAGACACTGTGACTGCCCCCACACCCAACAAACAGCATGTTCTGGTTCTCCACCCGTAAGATTTGTTAAAGAAGTGGTCCCACACCCTTGGCAGTTGCGTGCTGACCTTCCAGGACAAAGGAAGTGCTTCTTCCTCCCCAAGACAAGATGTCATAGCGCTTGGGGTGCCAGTGCCAGTGGCGGGGAAAATCACACTGATTACTTGCCTCATCTTTTGTTATTTGGCATTTCTGGGTAGGTTAAGTGCTTCCAAGGTTGCTGCTCATTCCAAGTTTACTGTTCTGATCCTTTCCTCCCGATCCTCCTCCCCTCCCTTTCATCCTCTGGGCCATCTCTGATGCGCTTTTGCTGTCTTCTGATGCTCTCTCCCCTTCTTTTCTCTCCCCAAGGGAACTCCTGGCAAGTTAAAGCTTCTTGCAGTGTCTTCTCCTTCCATGCTTCTTGTCACCCAGTGGCTCCCTTCACCCTGGCTGGTTCTCTTCACCCACTCTGACTTACCCTTTTGTCTACTCGATGTTCTCTTATTCTCTTGGAGATTCAGGATGCCCTAAACCTCTGCCATCCTGATTTCCCTTTTGATGTTTCCTGCCAATGGAGAGAGCAAGTAGGCTGCTTAGAGTTTTCCCAACAGGGATATGGTGTCCCAAATTAATTCTCAGCTCAGATATGCCATTAACCGGCAAATGCAAGTTTTTACTTTCACCCTCATATGTTTAGAGTAGCAAGGTGCATGTGCAAAGCCAATCAGACATCTGGGTTCAGCAGAAATAGAACTTTCTGAACCTCAAAGTCACTGGGCAGGACAGGAGGCTCTGGCAATGCCAGAAACATCTGTCAGAGACTGGGGAAATAAAAGTTCTTAGAGTGACTGAAGTAAAGTCCACCAAGTCTGCACCACTGCGTATCCCCCAAACTATCTTAGAACTTGCGATGTGATGGAAGCAGGGAGCCATCAGTCCTGCTGAGGCATTATTTTTCCAAAGCTACCTAGATGTGCATGCACAGGCTGGTTAGGATGATGCTTGAAGATTAAGGAGGGCATAGAAGGAAATAGTTGGGAGCGAGCTGAAATGATAAGGGGAAAAAATATAGCAAGTTCTAAGTTTATGGATGACAAGAGAATCGATTCTTCTTCGCCCAGGGGCAGAACATGCCGTTTCTCCGCAGGAGGCAAATTGTGCTGTGACATTATCCCTCTCTGTACAAAGCACGACCATCCTGACAGCTGAGGGAAGAGGCATCCCCAGCAAGAGAGAAACCCACAAACAGCACACACTGGCAGCTCTCCATTTTCTTGTTGGGAGCCAAACTCAGGGACATTGGCAGGGGCCGGAATGGAGGAATGTAATTTAGCCTTTCTATAGCCACCTTAAGAAAGATAAAGAAAGAATCATATCTACATGAAAAACTCAAACTTTAAAAGAGTAAAGATGCAGCATACTAGTGACATTAATTATACATTAATTTCTGCTCCCTCTCTAAAGGGAGGGATGGAAGAAAGTAAAGGTGAATAAATATATTCAACAAATTAGGAGGGAAAGGATGGTTGAAATAAACTTTAAAAATTCACTTGCACTTTTGCTCTTAAAGTCTTCAGAGCATTGTTGGAGCTCTTGCTTTGCTTAGGAATGAAGACCTTGGGAGCAGAGGTCTTGGACTATGTTCCCAGAAACTCCAAAATGACTTGCAGGATTCCACTGTGAGAGGTGTTGGGCAGCAGATGGCCATATCACCAGAGTGCCAGATAAGGCCCTAAATATAACCCTGGACACTTGTTCTCTCTGAGTGGAGAGGGACATCCTGAGTCTCTGCATATTTCCTTGCAAATGCATCCGTACAGGAACAGCGTGGGGGCAGACAAGTGATTTTGTGTGCATGTATGAGGTAGGGGTGGTCAGGTGGGGTTGCACCCTCATTCCTCAGTCAGGGGGACAATAGTGGGGACCATCTATATTCACTTGGGCTCGTCTTCTTGTGTATATACCCTATCCCATAACTGGATGAATGTAGGGTACTGGGTGGGGTGGGGTACCATATATGAGTTATGCAAAGAGGGTCACAGAATCCTCTGAGGAATTCACAGTATTCCAAACAACATCCATGTTTTTCAAAATGTCCATGGATCAAATCAAAGGTATCCCCAGCATACCAATGAAGTCCATCAAACATCTTTTCTCATTACCCTTAATTGCTATTAGTCAGATGTTCTCCATTCAAGATCCCTACAGTGTCCAGTGAGGCCATTCTGACTGGCTATGTCCACTTTAATCTCTGAGTCTTTCTTGAGACCTGTTTTAGTTTCTTGTGTATCTACCACTTGGAGGGATGGGTAGTGCTAGCCAAACTCAGAACACTCAGGTATAAAAGGCATTTTGAACTGTATGATGCTGTGGTTTTTTCCCAGTTTCCTCAGGGCTAAGGGTAGATGAAGTAGAGCATTACACTCTATAGGTAAATATTTAAAGGTTCATCATATGAGGCAGTCAAGGAATAACTTGGTATTGAGAACGGAGGAAGCAAAGTAGAGGATGCACATTATAATGATTCAGACAGGAAGAGAGGCATTTAAACACCTATAGGCTTCTTATGCCAATCTAGAGAATAGCAGATCAAGCCTCTAAAAATACAAAAGACTGGTTAAAATTTGCACTAGTCCCATGCAAATATGTGTATGAGGCAGAGGTGAGGGGAATGGTTGGAAGATTCCCTCTTCCTCTCAGGGATTCAAATGCAACTTCCTGAGTGAACTGGTAAGAGTCAGAGAAGAATGGAAGTCAGGGTGCATATACGTGTGTGTGCGTGCGTGTATGTGCACACACCCATAAGCAAGCACATGCACTTCCAAGGAAGAGGGTAATCTCACAAAATGGTAATATAACTGAATCTGTTTCTATAACACTGTTCTGGGATAGTTCTTATTCATTCAGCCTGAAAACTCTGGAGAAGGCAATTTATCTTCCTGCTGCTGTAGGGAGTCCTGGTGAGATGCATACAACCATATGAATACATGAGTGTGTGTGTGTGTAGACATTATAATTATGCACGAAAATGGGTCTATACATACTCTCGTGGGGGGGTGTGGTTCAAGTTTAATCAGTAAGGTCAATAGCAAAGTTTGAACTGCACAGATAAGGAGCAAATCTGCAGGGACCACAAGGACAGTAAAAAAGCAGAGAAAGGAGGCAGGTTTTTGCTTATATTTTGCTTCTTCCTGAGACAGGAAGCAACAAATGCATGCTGTTTGCTTGCAGAAGCAGTCACCCATGGTGATGCTCTGCTTTCTCAAAAACTTTTACCCTTCATTTAATCAACAGATGGACGTGCTCTGTTGTGGATTTTTCTGAAAGTCCTGTCCCTGTAAGAGCTGTGCTGGCTGGCACAAATGCTGCCTCAGATGGCAGAGGCGGCATTGGCATTCCAAAAGAGTGGGAAGGAACCCATTTACTTGTCCCCTTCAAACTCAATTCCACAGGTGACTTTTGATGCCAATAGCTAAGTAAGCACTCACAATCCCTCTCAGGAATTTCTCTCTTCTCCCTTTACCACCCTCAGCCCCATGGCTCCTAGTGGCAGGGAGCCCAGGGGCGCAAAGTTCTTTCCCGAGAGTCCACCGGCTTCTCTGCCCCTGCCAGGCTGCAGAAAGCAAACAATCAGCACCAGGGGTGAAATTCCATTTTATGCCCTGAATCCAGTGCTGTGTAGGATTTAGAATTCAGTCTTATTTAGGAAACTCTACATTCAATGAAACTCTTTACAAGCTTTCCCCAGCCACTGCATATTACCCCCACAGTACATTCTGTAATTGCAACCCCTTCTACAACCCTTGCAAACTGCACACGTTGGCTTTTGAATACACTCATGCAAGATAGACCTTATTGGAACTGAAATATCCATTTAAGAAAGGCTTCCTTTTCTGCCCCTCTCTTTCCCCAACCTGGGTGTGGAGAGAAGGCGCCCTGAAGTTCCAAACGGCATGGCCACACACATACTACCCAATTAACACACCAGGAGAATAAAGAACTCATTTGCATCGGAGAGTTTGAGTTGGATGTTGACAAGTGAGAGCAGAAAGTCGCTACCCCACCACCACCCTCTCAATCCCTTCCTTCCAAAGGAAAATAAACAGTACCATTCTGTTGCGTTTGCAAAGGCAAAAAGGCAACTCCAGAGCATCTCGGTCCGGCACCGAGGGAACCATCAATCAGTGCGAGTTTCCGAGGTCTGCCCACATTCCTACCCTCTGCCTCCCGCGCCCTAACAACCCCGCCGACTTTGCTCCAACTCCAGCAGCGCGCCGGTCCTACCTTGACTGAAAAGGAAGAAGCAGAGGAAGAGCAAATCGAGCTGGAAAGGTTTCATTCCTCAGCACAGCAAGGGAGAGCCGGCGGGCAACTTGGGGGTGTAGTTAGTTTCTCTTCCTCGGCGGCTCGCGGTGCTCAGCCTCCAACGCCGGTCCTCTCCGATTCGTGCCGACCATCTGTCTGTCCACCCGTCGGTCCCTTCGGGTGGTTTCGGTCTCTTTGTGTCTCCGGGTTTCTGCAGCCAGCTGAGACAAATTGCCTGTTTTTAACTGCCTCGGGAAGCCGGGATCCTCAGCAATGTCCCCACTCGGAGCAGATCCATTCTCTGGCTCTTGGCATCCCAGGCACACGGCTTCCTCCGGCGGGCTCCTCCCACAGCGAGCGAGCGAACGAGTGACGAGTGACAGAAGGGCTCCTTTCACAGAAGCTGGGGCGGGGGGAGAGGGAGGGGAAACAGGTCATAATTAAAGAGGAAATACTTGGGAAAAGGAGATCTTTGCAAAACAGAGGCTGGGGGAAAGGCTGTGTTCTTTCCTTCTTTTCCCTAAATAGGAGGATATTCAGCTTTTGTCACCATTATTGATTTTTTAAAAAAATCGTGAACGCGGAGCAGAGCTGTGACTTTTTGTCCACACGATGTAATGTTGTTTAAGGGAAGTGAAGTTAAAGATGACTATATGCATGCAAATGTATTAAAATGTGCATGCCTTGCCTTTGCATAAGAAACTAGAAACTGGGCTGAGAAGGAGCTTGGGAGGGGAACAGGGGCACGGGGTAGGGTGGGTGGGGGGGAAATCTTTCTCCAGCAAGGACTTGGCCAATGTGAGCAGCAGGGGGCTAGGGAGTTGAAGAGGATAAGCATGCTTTGCATTTTTGAGACTTTCCAACAGGGGTAGGTAATAAAACCTGAAGGTTTGGATATTAGTTTGCTTTGCATTGCTCTGAGAAAACCAAATGCTGGAATGGGAGAGAAAACAAGTAGGTTTATGACACATACCCATTTATTATTATTATCCTGGTCTGTGCATTTCCTAACAAGAACAGGAGAGCGGGCTGTCTTTGTATTTGGAGCTTCTGCACTAATGAGCACTCCGTCACTCTGAGCATCTTTTCTCCAAAAGGTGCTGTGAGTCTGATTTCGAAGGAGAGGCCAAGGTCATAGGCAACCACCTCCTAAGAACCTTCAGGTCTTTTACCTGTCATGAAATTCACACTCAAATCAAACTCGATTTCCTCCAGGATATCAACATGAATTTATCTAGGTCCATTTATTTGATAGACATTTAGGCATGCCTGGAATAAGCAGGCCACAGGGGGAAATAAAATAGTAAGCACAGACCATGCCTTCAGGAGCCCATAATCTATAGAGTGCAAGCAGAGTATACACACTAGACACAAACTATAAGGATATTACAAAGCAACGTTTAAAAATATGCAGCATTATATGAAGTAGACCAAGGGGGGTAAAGAGAGATGAGAGAAAACTGAAATATGCTCTCTGGAAGTATACCATTCACCATTCAATTATAAAACAATCATTACTTTCTTCAGTCCCTGGACCTTAGGAAGGTCTTTTGGGAGCCTCTTAGCCTTTTCTCCATCAATATCACAAATTGAGGGTCTTTACTAACTGCAAGGTACATTACGACTTGGAGTTTTCATGCGGATCTTAACTTCAAAAAATTATCCCTTGGTATTTATGAACAAGGAAAAAAAAGCATGGGCACAGGTAAAAGGGTATGTCGGTAGGAGCTGACACTGTAGTTGACATCCAAGATCTACCAATTAGTAGGTGTCTGCTTTGTTGACTTTTCAACTTAATAGTTTATTAAACTGTATTCCTTAGAGCCTGTTAAACATATCAAAGGGGAATTTGTAAGCAAGCTTTGGGGTGGGGGTGTGTGTGGTGGAGGTGGATGCTGAGCAGCAGAAACTAAGAGGACACAAAAGAGGCAACCCATCAGCTAAATTAACAAACAAGGTACAGAAGTAACCGTGTCAGCACAGCCTTAGCCCATTAGCTTGGTATGACAGATAATGCAATGAAACACAAGAGGCAAATCAGAAACACACACAAAAGATGAATAATAATTTCAAACAACGTATGACAAATAACATATTAAGACTGGAAATATGAAAATATGGCATGTAATGGTAAATAGTAGCTTTCTACTAAATCTGTGGGGGTTTGGGGGGAATAAAAGGTCTGGGAACAACTCCTAAGGCTAAATCTTACAATGAGTACAACTAGTATCAGAATGTAGATGGTACCTGCCTGAGCAACAATTGATGTTTTAACTAAAGATTTATCCTTTAAGCTGTTGTTTAATTTTGGTTGCTAATTCCTAAATGGCCCGAGGCCCAGATTTGCTTTAATTCAACCCCCAAGGGAAATACTGCAAACCCAGGGTCAGGAGGCTAGTGAAGTGTGCAATGTCTGGTAATCAGGCACACGAATAGGCATATGCGCACCGCACTCGCACATCACATCCTCTCTTGGAAAGGAGAAAAGTGGGGAGTGGGAGTCCGAGGTTGGAAGGATTTTGTTTCGCTCTCCCACTGGTCCCGAGCCTAGCCTCATGATTCCCAAACTGGTTCCGGACCCCCCACCCCCACCCCAAAAGCCACCTGGGCCTGTTCCCTTTTCCGCGCCCCCTCCGCCCCATCCCCGCAGCCTCCGGTCTCAGGCAGAAAGGGAAAAAGCTTGGATTAAGTGATGAGCTGCCCGCCTCTAAAAGGACCAGGAGGCGTTTCAACCCTGAGTGCCGGAAAACCCCCGGCAATCTTCAGTGGCCACCACGTGGGGGCAGAGAACGGGAGCGGTACCTGCAGGACCCACAGCCGGCCGGGCTCTGGCGCCAGCCCCGACGGCGACCCCGCCATCTCCGCCCGGCCAGCTCGTGGCCTCACCTCCTCCGGGGGCTCGGTTAACCTCCTGGCGCTGCAAGGTGGCCTGCGCGCAGTTCGCTCTCGAGGAGGGAGGGGGGAGGCGGCGAGGAGCGGACGGCTCCACCTGATGGAGAAGCGTGGAGAGTCCTTAGACCTTGGAGTGCGCTGCGAGGGGAAGCAAGGAGGGAGACCACGGTCTCCGCTGGAAACCTCTGCGTCTGTGGGATGGCGCGCGGGGGACCGGGTCTCTGCGCACAGTCGGTGGAGCTAACAGCCCAAAGAGACAGCCGAAAACCATCAACTTGGAAAGCCGCCCCAATTCTGATTTTCTGTGCATCCAGGCTCCAGGTCTCTGTTGCGCCCACCATGCAAGCCAGGGTCCCTCACCAGCAGGTGGCATCCTCTCCAGCGTTTCTTCTACAGGCTTGTAGCCCAGGAGGTCGACTTCATCCGTCGCCAGTCCCCCTCCAGGCCTTCAATTCCAAGTGCTGTGTCCTTTGACCCGCCCCCAAGCCCCGTCTGCACCCCCTGCCTCGCGTCCCAGGGGACCAGCAGGAGTGGGATTGCGGAAAGCAGTGAGGAAGTCGGAGCCCACAGAGAATGCGGGGTGGCTCCAGATTCTGCTACTAGCTGGCCAAGAAGTTACAGAAGGGCAAGGCTGGGACAGCTTCCAAGTCCTGCTCTCCTAGCAGCAAGTGTGCCCCCACCCCCAGTCTCATGTGTCTGAGATCTGGGAAAGAGTGAAGCATGAAGTCCTGGATCCTGCTGCAGGATTGATGGGTACTGTTGTTCAGTGCCTTAAACTGTCTAACATTCAGTCTCTATGAAGACGCAGCTCATGTTCACCTTCGGTGACCTTGGGGGCTGTCAGTTCAATATCAATAACATTTACTATTCCGTTGATTTGGGCAAAGCCCTGTTTAGAGTACTTAAAGATGTGTGGGATGAATGCATAGATTCCTGTTCTTGAAAAGTTTATCCTTTACTTGGGGAGGATACAAAGGTACATATGTGGGGGGAAAAATATAAGGCATATTATTGGCTTTTTAATAAGACAGAAATTGCCCTAAAGGTCATCTGTCAGGACCCTTTCTTTCTAGATGGCTCCTTCTGGGTGGACTTTCCTGAGGCTTTTCAGGAAGCTGCAGGGCTCAGATGCCAGTCCAGGGCCCTGACCATTAGCCCAGTGTGTCTGCTCTTTCTCTACTGCTCATGTTGGGCCAAGCTCCCTTTAACTGTCTGGAAGTATTCATGTGTATTATCACCACAGATAAGGAGAGGGAGTGGTTCTTTTGTGAGACAGGCAGTCATCACCAACAGAGAATTTCCTGCTTAATGCTTCTTTGCAATATTTGTTGCACAGATACATTATAAACCACATTCTCTTTTTGTTTTTTATACATCCTGCCTGTACTGGATAAAACCTCCTTGCCCAGAGATTTAACACATTTTGAACAGGCCCCTAGTGGGAATTCAGGGTAACCTGCCTCTCTAGTCCTGGGTAAGTTAATAAAGGCTTGAAGCTACATACACATCCAAAGACCAAATGGTCTTTAGAGGTCCTCTCTGGGTGGCAGCTACCTGACCTGGGCAGTCACAATCTTCCAGCCTATTTCTTTTTCATTTCTCTGAACCAAATTTCTTGCTCACATCCATGTAGGTGGATTACAAGACCTTAACCCCTGTTCACCGTGGTTGGTCTCTCTCTATTGCCAGCGGAAAGGGCCCAAAGAACCAGGTGTTCAGCTTTTTAGAAGCATCCTCCAAAGAGCAAGATGTCCACCTCACTGATTCATGCAAGACTAGGCTTGACTGAGGGAATCATAGTGAGCCTTTGGACCTGGCTCTGGCCTGGCCAAGACTGTGATAGTCATTTAATGAACCTAGGCCCATCTTTCTTTATCTATAAAATGACTGGTTTGAGCCAGTGGATCTTTTCAATCTCTCTCAACCCTAAAATCCTATTATGCCTTTTCCAGAGTCCACAGCTTTCAGCACAGTCAGATTTGGAAGAGCTTCTCCAATGCCATCCGTGTTACAGGCAGATTATTTTGATTGATCAGTTCCTACCTCCAAGGAAACAAATAATGATGCTGATATTTGTATAGGTCTCTGTGCTCTTCTGGGTTCCAATTTCTCTCCAAGCTGTTTTTCATCTTCTTTCTTCTCTGGATGTCCTAAATCTTTCCCTAACTTACGCAACTTGTGTGTTTCCCTTCTCTTTTTATTTTTCCTAGCATCATACTCATATTCAACCTGGGGTCTGGGTTCCAGAATAGATTTTCTTCAATTTACATTCTCTCATAGTGTTGGATGAAAACTTCTATTAGTGGGCAGAAATGGTGAAGCCAGTGTGGCTAATTAGAAAGGGCTTCTATTAAAGGAGGTGAATATCGAGGTACTTGGTACTTTCTCCATCTTGGTGTGAATCACATTTTACTGTAATACAGTCATGTATCTTCTATAATACCCCAGCAGCTCCATGAGGACAGGAAGAGTGTCTCCCTAGTTCACCTATGTCCCCAGATCTCACTCTGGTTGGCAGAAGACCGCCAACACACACTGTTGAAAAAATACCAAAGCTTTACCTAGTGCCCCATATCCCACTTCCTGTTTTCTGAATCCAATTTAACTTATTCTTCGCACTGTTATTAAACCATTGTCAAACATCTGGCATGTGCTTGCCACTGCTCTGGCTGTATTTTATGGGGATGCGTAATGAATTGAGACTATATATAGTTTGCAAAATGTGGAACACACTTTAAGATGCATGGCATTATAGAAATGAAAGATATTTTTATCTCTCAGCATCATTCTGCACAAGGATACGATTCTCTGGCAGTACT